GTTGATATAGCACTTGGTATGTTTTTATAAAAATTAATTCTATAAATGTCTAGCATTTTAAGTATAGTGGAGATGGTATTATCTTATATACTTAAATAACTGGCATGTACTTTCAATTCTGTTGTTTTAAAAATATGTTTAGAATAATGTCTGAATCATCACAATCACTTAAAAATTAGGAAGAGCAGGAATATTCTTATCTTGATTGTAGAATATGTTAATACCCGTATGTAGATGTTGAGGTAAAAAGACATAGTCTATGCATAATCGCTTATTTTATTATTTATGAGATGTTATCCCAGATTGTTTAACACATATTATTTCACAATTTTCCTGTTTTACACATGAACTTCAATAAAAAATTAAATCCCAATATTTTCTGGATGTAAAATGAGAAACACTTTAAATAGTTTGACATGGCCTAAAAATCTAGGTATAGTTGATACAACTTTTTTTTTCAAATAAATCTAGGGGAATAATATACATGGACTGGTACATTGGTCAACTGAGTGGAAGATGAGTTCATGATTTATGATATGAGTTGAAGCCAGATATAGCTATTGGGAAGAGTATTGCCACTGCTTTGAGAGCTTTGTGATCTTATTCTCATTTTACATTGAAGAAACACTGGGGTTTGTTATTTGATTTAAGTCCATGCAAAAAGCAAACAAGAAAGCTGTGCGATTAATACATGTTAAATAATCTAAGTTATTATCTTTTAAATCTTTTTAATCAAGAAATAATGTGATTCTTTTTAACACAACATATATGATAAGAATGAAAACTAAAGTAACAACAAAAGAAGACAAGATTTATCACAGGCTTAGGACAAAAATGAGCTCACATTTACCAATTATTGTGGAATTGATCATAATTCTGATAGGGTAAAAAGCACAAAATCCAACCTTCTATCATCATCAATGATAACATTGCCTGGACTATTTTTCTGCATGTGAATTTTAGAATGTTTAGAGAAGAATCACTCTTTTTTTTAACAATAGCCCCCAAACCTGTCATAACATAATTAAGCATAATCTGAATAATTATAATAGAAATAATAGAAAGTTCTTTAAAAACTGTGTTTCTTATCAGAAACATCTAATACATTATTTCAAATGAAAATCACTATATTATAAATATATAATCTAACTCGTGATATGAGAGAAGTAGACTTGTACCATAATTGCCAACTATAATATCTGAAATATTGAATTATCAATGTCTTTTTCACTTTGTTTATTCATGATAAATTACAAATAACACTACTTATTTCCTAAGGGAATTTATTTTTTATTTCATTTTTGTAGTTGTAAATGGACAGCATGTCTTTATTTTATTTGCTTATTTTTTATGTGGTGCTGAGGATCAAACCCAGTGCCTCAAACATGCAAGGCAAGTGCTCTGCCACTGAGCTACAGCCCCAGCGCCTCAAAAGGAATTTATAAAATAAATATTGCATATGCTTTGCTTAATACAAAATAGACAATGTGGAATAATATCACAAATGTTATATCTTGTCCCTACTGTTAAAAACTATAAACTCATTTCTAGACTCTCACTTTCAGTTCTCCATAAACTCTTGCCAATTTATCATTCATTTTTATTAGTCATTTTTTCATGTGTAAGTTTTTATTGGTGCATATTAATTACACAGAATAATTGGTTTCATTGTGTTATTTTGTACATGCGCATAACATGAGTTAATCAAATTAATTTCATTTTTCTTGATAGGTTTTACATTTTCTGTCCTCTTTCTCACATATGTATAGAATTTTTGGAGTTACTTAATATACCTAAAGAAAAATACCTCTGACTAATGGAGACTATTAATTGTACATTCCTAATAAAATTGTTGAAAGAATTAAATGTGCCCCCTAGGTTTAATTGAAAAAAAAAAGTCATATCAATAACTACACCCTATCTATTCTAGGTGATGTCAAAATGTTTCAAGAATTATTCTACCTGACTAGCTCTGTGGCAGGCTTGCTGAGATATGTGGCCAGGGGCAGCTAGTGCAGAGGAATGCCAGGCAGAGCAGGGCAGTGTATGGCCAGTGACAATGACCAGCAAGACTGGGCAGTGGTGCCCCATGGAAAGCAATGCTGGGGTCTTCACCAAGCTCATTGGAGCTCATTAAAGAATTTGGTTGCTAATGGGCCCAAGTAGAAGAAATATGCAGTTTAGAGCCTGAGAATTTTGAAAAAATAAAGCCAGTTCATAGTTTAACTTTCCTTTTCAAGTGCCAGCCAGAAGAACCAGCAGGCTCTGCAGTTCAGTATGCCAGACTTAACATGGTATTTTTTACAAAGCAGATAATTAATGATACATGTGTTACTCAAGGCATTGGACGTGTGTATTGAACCATACCCATCAATGTGTCTATTTAGGAGAGACATTATAGGAGTTTAAAATTTTTTCACCAAGATTTGATGCAGCTATGAAGGGTTTGGCCCTGAACAATTCTGATGTGATTCAACAGATACACCACAGTTTTGCCAGACAGCAAATGTTTGAATTTGCTGCAAAGACATCAGCCAAAGAAGATGTTTTTCATTTTGTCAGTTATGTAATTTTTAATGGAAGACTGTAAGAATTAAATGGATTAAGAGAAGGACCCATTTATTTAGGTGTGTGTAATCAATATGTCAGGATCAGCACAGTACAGCCAGTCGTAGAAAAAAAGAATATAAAAGTACAGTGAAGGTGAAATTTGCTTTAACTTAATGGCTACGTGACTGACAGAAAAATAACATATAAGCAGAAGATAGCAGAGTTACAAAGACAACTTGCAGAGGAACCTAAAGAAACAGATCAGGATAGTAATATGTTAAGTCCTATTCTATCAGAAGTTGCCCCAAATCTGATGCTTATTGCAGAAGTACAAGATTAAAAGATACAAGATTGAATCCCAGGGATGAATCCTACTTGATCATGGTGCACAATTTTTTTGATATGCTTTTGTATTCGATTCGCCAGAATTTTATTGAGAATTTTTGCATCTATGTTCATTAGAGATATTGGTCTGTAGTTTTCTTTCTTTGAAGTGTCTTTGTCTGGTTTCGGGATCAGGGTGATGTTGGCCTCATAGAATAAATTTGGAAGAGCTCCTTCTTTTTCTATTTCTTGAAATAGCTTGAAAAGTATTGGTATTAATTCTTCTTTGAAGGTTTTGTAAAACTCCGCTGTATACCCATCTGGTCCAGGGCTTCTCTTGGTTGGTAGTCTTTTGATGGCTTCTTCTATTTCTTCCTTTGTTATTGGTCTGTTTAAATTGTGTGTGTCTTCCTGACTCAATCTGGGCAGCTCATATGACTTAAGAAATTTATCGATGTCTTCACTGTCTTCTATTTTATTAGAATATAGGGTTTCAAAATACTTTCTAATTATCTTCTGTATTTCTGTAGTGTCTGTTGTGATATTGCCTTTTTCATCCCGTATGTTAGTGATTTGAGTTTTCTCTCTTCTTCTCTTCGTTAGCATGGCTAAGGGTCTGTATTAGAAGGAAGCATAATTATTAGCTAATACCTCTTGTAGAAAAGGCAAAAGAAAAACAGAATTCAAAGAAAGCTCAGGAAACCAAATGAAGAGGATGCTTTGGTACATCTACACATTTCTGCTTCTGTACTTATTTTTATGACACTGTTAAGTATAAGAAAACTTTGAGCAACATCCTAATTGACACAGTGCACATTGGGCAACAGTACCAGTATGACTTGTCTTTAATGCATGATTAATAAACTTTTTCCCTACCTGCATCATGTGCACACAGTGCATATTAAATAAAAGTGATACATTCATTTTATATCTGATCAGTTGATTTTTAACACAAGTGTCAAAGCAATCAAACAGAAAAGGAGAGTCTTCAACAAATGGAGGTAGAATAGTAGAGCTTAATATCCACGTGGAAAAAAATAAATCACGAGCCCCCTACCTCACAAAAATGAACTTAAGTTGAATCATAGATATAAATGTACTTGCTAAAAATATAATTTTTTTTCAAGAAAACATTGGTGAATATCTTTGTGACCTGGGAGTAGCCAAAGGTTTCTCAGGTCATATAAAGCATTAACCATAAAAGATCCAGAATTAGGGTTCATCAAAAATTAAAAACCTGTCATTAAAAGACACCTTAGCAAGAGTAGCTTGTATAGAATGACATCTTTAAACTAGCTTTATAAATTTAGGTTAATAAGTATACGGATTTTATTCCTTTGATTTAATTATCTTTTTTTAAAAGAGAGAGAGAGTTTTTTTAATATTTATTTTTTTAGTTTTCGGTGGACACAACATCTTTATTTTATTTTTATGTGGTGCTGAGGATCGAACCCAGCACCATCCCCTGCATGCCAGGTAAGTACGCTACCGCTTGAGCCACATCCCCAGCCCAAGATTTAATTCTTATAAAGTCCATGATAGAATTTTTTCATAATTTAACATGGTTGATCTGCTTCTTCTTTCATGATTGCAAATGTATTGTGACATCATATTTTTTTTCTGCTTGTGACTAAAAATGTATGAATTGTTTAAAAAACAAAAAATAATTTGTCTACTGTATAATAATACTGAAAAACTTTATTTTATCTCTGCTTTACTCTTCTTACTACTTCTCCTCTTTATTGTCATAATTATTTTTATTATTAACACTCACGTTTAATACCAGGTAAGAATGAAAATTTCTAAAGTCCACATCTTTCCTGATCCTCTTTCTATCAAACTGAATGCCCTTTGTCTGTTCCAAAGCAAACTACTTCTATTTAAAATCATAGTCATTAATCCAGATATTCACATTTGCCCAAATACATTTGAATAAAATATTTGAAAAATTAGAAAATTCTGAAGCAATATTTAGAATTATCAAATTTATTAAGAAGAGAAATTTTAACAAGGACATGGGAGGGGAAAAAAACAACAACCTTAAGTAAAGGAAAGTTTTGAGATGTTATGCCTAACATAAAAAAAACATTAACAAGAAATTTATTTTTCTTTCATTACTAATACTTTCATTTACCAGAGAGAAGCATCACTTTCTGGATGGTGTCCTTAAAGGCTTGCTTCACTTGCTGATTCCTCAGAGTGTATATAAATGGATTCATCATGGGAGCAACAGAGGTATTGAGAATAGCAACTCCTTTGGTCAATGATGCTCTTTCTTTTGCAGAGGGATTAGCATACATGAATATGCAACTTCCATAAGAGATGGAAATGACAATCATGTGAGAGGAGCATGTAGAAAATGCCTTTTTTCTCTGACTGGCAGAAGGGAGTTTCAGAATTGTCCTCATGATGAACATGTAGGATAGAATTATTAATGCCAAAGTGAAAAGCAGAATCACTATCGCAGAATAAAATCCAATCACTTCTAGGAGCCATGTATCTGAGCAGGATAATTGCAATAGGGGGAAATAGTCACAAGCAAAGTGATCAATGACATTGGAGCCACAGTAATCTAACTGGAGAAAAAGAATAACTGGTGGGAAGATGTTTAGGAATCCTGCCAGCCAAGCACAAAAGACAAGCAATATGCAGACTCTCTTGTTCATGATGGTAGTATAATGCAGGGGTTTGCAGATGGCTACATAGCGATCATAGGACATGGCTGTTAGAAGGTAAAATTCAGTTATACCCATGAAGATGAAGAAAAACAACTGAGCTGTGCAATTATTATATGAAATTGTTTTGTCCTTAGTAATAATTGTGCCCAGGAATCTAGGGATACATACAGTTGTAAAGGTGATTTCCAATACAGAGAAGTTCCTGAGGAAGAAATACATAGGAGTCTGTAGATGAGAGTCCACCAAGGTGAGAGTGATGATTGTCATATTTCCAGTGACACTCAATATATATGTGATAATTAAAAAGAGAAAAATCACAACCTGAAGCTCTGGGTCATCTGAGAGCCCTAGTAGAATGAATTCTGTGGGTACAGTGCGGTTTTTCATTCTCAATCCTTTTTCCACCCCTTTAGAACATAAAATGTATGTTCCCCTATAATGTAAAAATATTAGCATGAGATTGAAGATAGGACAAAACACTTTACAAAGATTCATAAAGATGAGTTTTATGTAAAATAAAATAAAACTTTGTGTTCATCAGTAACCCCCTCCCATTTCCATTGTATCTTACATCAAAATAACTTGTGTTGCCAGAAGTTAAATATTGATCTCTCTTCATTGAAAATATACTGTTACAGGACATGGGTAAAAGGTTACAATGATAATATTTAAATAGAAGCTATTTCTTCCAGTATTTCTTTGAAATTATGTTTCTATTTATTTATAAAAATATTTACTTTGTAAAACACATGAATATATTGCAATATATTAATATATTTTCCTTTCCTCAATATTACAAAACTAATCTAGAATACAGCATGATAAAATAAGAGTTTGAAAGTCTTCGAAGTTTATTTAGGCTTACCTTCAGGTGTTATATTTTGAGTAACTCAGTCCCATGTAGCTTAGGCAACTTTTACAGGTTTAACAACCAGTCACTGTAATAATCATCTCACATTAGAAAGTACATGTTTATTCATGGAAATGTGTTAGCATCCTCTCCTAACTTTCCTACTTCAAGGTTTGGCTAATGCAATTACTTTCCTTTCCTCATTTACTTTTCTAGTAAAAGGAACAAAACAAATCATTGTCTAGAATTTAATTCATAAAATGCATGATTCAATCATTTTTACAATATTGCTGTAGCAAATGAACAATTGGATAATCAAAATAACATTTACTGGGGAGAATATATTCTTTCAGATAGAGAATGTCCTGTTTAAATATTATTTCCATCACAGAATAACATGTAACCATAGGGATAAAAATTAAAAATAAAATTTAAAAAAATCCACGCGTTTCTGTGTTCTTGTCTTGGGACCCCATTGATGGTATTATCAGTAATAAATAACAAGTAATTTTGTTATTCTCTATCATAATACATATTACATTTAATTTATACATTTCAAAATACAATTATAAAATTAGAACACTTTTAATATTGAAAATTAAATAATTGAAGAATAACAAGCTTACTTTCTGGTATTTCTTGATGATCAAGTCTGAAATTCTACCACCTGAGTTTCTTAAATAGTCATATTTCACATCTGGCCAAATGATTCAGCAATATATTTGATTTCCTTTGTACTCTCAAAACAAATGTGGTGATTTAACCTTTCCATGGATCTCTGAAATTTCGTTCACTTTAATTAGAGACCAGTCATATTTGACCAACAAGAATATTAATTCTTTTTACAGTAAACTTGTTGGAACATTTTACATTACAATCAATCATACTTTTCTCTGTCTCACAAGATCCATGTGTAAACAGAGTTAAGTTTACATTAACTAAAGTACTCTTCCATTTGTTCTTTCCATACAATACAAAATACTTTTTAAAAACTTTTTTTCTGCATTTACACAAACGTTTTAAATAAATATTTTGCAAACCTATAATCCTACATGCATATAACATTTTCCTTAGTCTTCAGAGAATGTTACATTTTCCTGCAAATGCTGATTTGAACAATATAAAATAAGAACTATTTCAATCTATGTATGATATAGAAGTGGAGTTGTGTTATTTTTATCTGTCTCTTATTACCTTGGGAATTCATTAAGCAAACAAAGAATGCCAAGAAGGGTTATCATTTAAAAAAACAGATTTATCATTGACATTAGTCTTTTTATTAATATTAAAAGAAAATATAAAATGTATTAATGTTAAAAACACAAGTATATAAATAACATGTGATATTGGGTGTATAAAAGTTGGATTTAGAATTTGATTCTCCTATGGTTGTTTGAATTCATTAAAAAAAAATATTTTAGTTGTAGTTGGACACAATACCTTTACTTTATTCATTTATTTTTATGTGGTGCAGAGGATCAAACCCAGGGTCTTGCACGTGCAAGACCAGCACTCTACCACTGAGCCACAAACCCAGCCCTGAATTCATATTTTTTACTTTGAGAAATTCTGGATCTATCTTCAGGAATGTTAGCATATTTGTATCTCTTGAATTTTGGCAACTCAGTCAAATCTTCCTTACAATAACACAGGGAGGTGGTAGAAAACACTACTTGAGTTTCTAGTCTGACTTAAGAGTCTTCCGAAATGGCCAGTGTTAAGGATCTATGATGAGTTTTATCCCTCTATCATCATTTACATTTAGGGAGAGACTTCCTATGCCTATAACTAATGTCATAACAATATTTGCTAAAAGTTGCATTTACTCCCCTTCATTGTATTGTATACTTTAATTGAACTGTTGCTTATTGTTTTACATATGACATCCTCTTACTGCAAGAATAGTTATGAAGCAAGAAAATAAATATTTAGAAATCTGGTATTAAATATTTAAAATTATGTATTAAAATTGTTCTGCATTGAGGGATATAAATTTATAACTAGAAAAGTATAATACTCATACATCATACATAAGTTTATATATAACACACATTTTCTATTTAGCAATTTCCTCATTTTTTTCATATATAACAAGTGTGCAAAGCATGTGTTTATTAAATTTCAGAAGTGCAACCGCTGATGGATTGGAAAATGAGATGATCTGAAAGTGGGACAGAGGAGAGAAGAGAGGGAAAGATGAGTAAACCACTAGTTAACTCAGAAAAATACAATGGTATTGAGTTGTGTTGAATTTATGATTGATACACATTATGAAAGGCATTGAAATGACTGATTCAACATATTTATGTATAAATAGTAAAAACTATTTCCTATCTATGAAAACTGCATTCCATGGCCTCTGTTAATTGCCCTATTTTTCTCTGTAAACCCTTTAACAGTAATAAATATAGCAATCATTGTTTGAGATTTATTGATTATCAGGTATTGACCAAATATTTTGCTTATCCATTTTTTCTAAACAGAACAAAAACCATATGAGGCAAGATATATTCATATAAATGCTTGAGAAAGAAAGAAGTTAAGAAGTTAGTTAAGTATCTAATCCCCATCATTTGTATATTTGTCAGCAGTGTAACCTTATTGATATTTTTAGAGGACAAATAAGATGAATCTCTTATCAGACAAAGCATAGCATTTTATGTAAATATCCTATTATATGTGCTTCTTTAAAATCTTTTCTCAAAATCTTAAATAATGAATGGCCTGCTGTGGGGACAAGTGCATGGAGTACTGCATACATAGAAAATATTAAGGGCCCCTGAGTGGCTAACCACTCCCCTCATGCTAAGCATGTGAGCAGCAAACTGCTTACCCAGTAGGCACAGCCCTGGTTGTGAGGCCACGTGTTGCAGTCTCTGTGCTTGCTCCAAGGCCCAGTCCTCAATCGGTTGCTGCAAGGACAGTTAGCAAGAAATTATATTGGTGGCTGCCTGTAATCTGCTTAGCTACTACCTGAGTAAATATACATGGTAACTGTGCGATAAAATCAGACCTGCTTCCTGCTTAGTCTCCAGAGGTCTTGATTGGTAACTCCACAGCCACATTCTCCTCTACCCTGTTCTGTGGATCTCCTCGCTGGATGAAAGAGAGCCCACGTAGTCTGACTCTCTTTTTCCACAATCACGTGCTCCTTTTTATTTCCTATCTTTATTTCATTATTTTTAGTTTCTATTAGTACTATAGTTTTTCTCCTGACCTCCTAATATTTCATTTTTAATTTTGACTGATCTATTACACATACTTCCAAAAACAATATAGGACACTTGCTTTTTAAATAATATGCCCACTTATCCCCAAGTTGCTCTGGGAATGAATTGTCACTATGTTTTAAACCAATTAAACATAGTTCAGCTACCAGGTCCTGCACTTCTTTGAAAGGGGAGTGGAATTTTGTGACTGGCAGAGCTATATGGTGGAACAGGACTCTCTATCCACCATTGCTTTATAATTTGTACAACTATACTCACATGCAATCAGTTTCAGAACAGCAAAGGCAACCGGGTAAAACATCAACAGAAACTGGTTGTAGTATAAGAATAAAAATTGACACATCAAAGACGGTATGATGGATGGTTTTGTATAATCTTTTTCACCTCTCTCTAACCCTAGGCAGCTCAGTGTGGAGAGTGACACCATCTGAATGGGGGACGGAGAGGTAAATGAGTGTAGAAATTGGCCTTAGGCCCCAATTCCAGACCTACCACAATAAACACAGCACCAGGTAGACTATTGACTTAAGATTGTACCCATGGACTAAACTTCGAGATTCACTCTGGCACAAGAGAAAGCACAAATCCTTTGGGATTTACTCACTTTCTGGTTCTCAAAACCACCAGTCAACAGCTGTGGACTTGGGTTTTGGACAAATCTCTTGGATGAAAGACCATAGCTGTTGTAGGCTTCAGGTTGCCCCAAGCACTGCACCAGGTTCAATGGCCACACAATTACATTCCAGTGTTGAGCTACTCTTTGCAGCCCAAGATTATAAGGCCAAAAAATTATAGCCCACATTGCCAGCTGCGGCAAACCTGTGGCAATGGTTGCAGTATTTATGGGCTTAGGGATCATGCCAGATATCTACCCAGAATCTCTGAATAAGATTACCTTTAAAAGATGTTCCTTAACAAAGTGAGACTGAAAAGACTGAAAAAAATGTATACATTTTCAACAAGTAGACATCAATGCATGACCAAAGAATTAAGAACAATTGAGGAATCATGATGTCACCAAGTAAATAAAATAAGAAATCAATGACTGGTTCTAAAGACAGATATGTAGAAATTACTTAACAAAGAATTCAAAATAGCTGTTTTGAGGAAGCTCAGTGAACTTCAAAAAAATACAGAGAAACAATTCAGAAATGTATTTGATAAATTTAATACAGAGATTGAAATAACAGGAAAAATCAAATAAATATTGAAAATACAATGAAAAATGGAATTCTGAGCATTAATTACAGAACTGATCAAAAAATGAGAATCTATATTCAAATAATTACATTTAAGAGAAAAAATGT